TGGGAGAAGATGTAATAAACACTGACACAAAAGTTTCTTAACTTTTCACAACTATGAGTATCTGCTTCAAACCAACACAAGAATTCCTTTATTTTATTATCATTATTTTTTTAATTTAATTTTGCAAAGAGTCAAGATGATCTTTTTGATTTATTCTTATTCCTATCTTCATTTTGTTAACATATTGGGTTTGCAGACAGACTTACAACAGGAGGAAAAAACACATCTGAACTCCCTCTTTACACTCACTTTTGTTTCTTTTCTCTTACAAGTCCTCCATCTCCCTGGTGGTGCTATCAGAGGGCTGAATCTGTGTCTATTCCCTGCAGCGCTACAGGAGCTCCATCTCCTCCCGAGCATTGACTGGTCTGTAACATGCAACGCACACTGAAGCCTTTACACTCCCTCTGTTCGACGGTTACAGACGGGAAATCTATACCGAGAAGTGAGGGAGTACAAGAAACAACATGGAACGCCCTTAAACCCACCGCTGCGCACACACACACACATGCAGACACACACATGCGCTCAGAGGGATGATGATTATTATTACCCCTCTCCTTGTGGAGGTTTGGGATGACCTTCTTTGTCCGTCCCCCTGTGTGCTGCTGCTAAGGCTGTTGGGCCGAACTAGCCAGAGGGCACAAAAGGGCCCATTGAGGCCCTTTGATGGATGAACCGCACTTATTTATGGAGGAAAAAACTCTGCTGTGCACTGTGTTAGGCTTGCTGTGTGTCCAGTCGAGTATGCATGAGAGTAACATGCAGGTAAGAAGAAGAAGAATGTGTGAGGTGAAGTCAGTGATTCTCAGTCTGCTCTCACCTTGACCTTGCTTCTGGCTAGGATAAGGTCAGAGAGTGTGTGTATCCTCAAAGTGTGTGTAGCATAGCTGACAGGGTTTTAAAGGCCACAGGATAGTCTAACCTTGGCAGAGAATAGGTTGGACTTTAGCCAGCTTCATCTTCACCTTAATCCCCAGGCCTCATATATCCTGTAGCAGACCCTGTAGAGACGACGGCATATTTCACTTTATGACCTGATCATATTCCTGATAAATCTTCACCATCACACCCCAAAAGAGCTGGCTGAATATCACCTCTGTGAATGCTCAGAGCCGCTTGGTGAGCAGCACTGCCCCCCTGCACCTGTTGATGGCACTATTGAGCTTCCGTTTCCTGCTCTGCTATCTCCAGTCATCAACAGTCAGATAAAGGCTGTAACAACCGCCAATCCACTGTGCAGCCCCCCCTCCCTATACCAGGTTCCTGCATCCCCACCCTCCCTCCCTCCCCTGGAGCTCTGATGGATGTGCTCGCCTGCTAAACTACTTAGGAAACACTTAACAATAATAATGTTGTTATTCTTCTTTCGCTACTCAGCAGAGCTTCTATTTGGCGTCTCCAGCTGAGGCAGAAGGTAAATGACGAAAAGTCACACTTGTCACGAAACATCTTACAACTAATAAAAGTGGTGATAGCATGCTAAACAATAGCTGTTTCTGTATTCTTATGGCAGCTGTGGGCACCCTTTTGGTGCGATGTAAACATTGGCACAGTTGAATGATTAGATATGGAGTGTAAAACTGAAGAATAGCTGAAATAAATGCATAAATACATAAAAATGCAGTCTTTAGCTCAAGGGCAATGTGCACACTGTGAAGTGAAATACTTTTTTTTTTCTTTTATTTATACAAAGAGGCCAGATCTATACTTCCACTTTGTGTTTTTACTCCATATTGAGGCTGTCTTTGCATTCATCAGCATGCACAGTATTAAAAATTAATAATTTTGAGGTCAAATATGAAGAAAAAGTTCACAAGTTCCCATTGTATCCTTTCCCATCGAAGCCATCTGGCTGTTTTGATCCGAACTACATCAAATGAGTGTATCTTATTATTCAAAATTATGCTGTGTTAGTGAGTATCAGAAGGATGTTTTGTCTGGTGCAATTATATAGATCCGCCCCGGCAGTGGGCGTGTATAAATAATTAATGTCTTCATATTACAGTGTTCTGTTGGGGTAACCGGCAAAGATCTGCTGCAAAGAGGAAATGAAATCTGACAAATATCTTGTTTGTCACTGAGGCATGCTCTCAACACAGACTAATAAAAGATGGAAGCGGAGCCAGGGAGGCAGCCTTTCTCTCCAAACAGGCAATTTTCCTCTTGCCTTAACCCTTACCCTGACCTTAGCGCTAACCTCCACCCTGTCCAATACCATGGACAAAGAGCACATATTTCATGTGTTCAATCATTGTCGCTGACGTTATGGCCATTGGCTGTGCTGTCAGGCGTAACTACGGCATATACTGGCTAACCCTCGGGTCCCAGCGAACACAACGACAGCAGCAGCAGCAGCAGCTCCTCAGCCGCCCACAGTGATGGCTGCCTGGGAAATAGAAGTACAGCCTCCCTGTGATCATTCCAGGAGCCATCCTGCCTAACAGCTCTGGGCTTTATGGCTCCGCTGCTTCTGATGATTCACACTCTGTCGTATAGTGCAAGCACAGCTACACAGACAGGCAGATTCATGGGCGCACAGACACACATACACAAAAATACACACACCTATAAACTGACTGCACACACATGCACACCAGTAATGCTCACTCACAGATCTATTGGCAAAAAAGGCACATTCCTGCACACAGACACACACAACAGAATAAAATACCAATGCATGGCATATACTGTTCACTGGTACATTGACACAAACTATTTCACACACAAATATTTGTTTACCTGTGCTTGTGAGGACATACTGCACTAACTATCTTCAACCTTTTGGGGACATTCTTACTTTAATAGTGTTTGATAACAGTCCTGTTTGTGATAATGGTCATGAGAATTGTGAAGTCATGTACAGACTGGATAAATACAATCTGTGAAAACAAATCCAACTATGATCAACCAAAAGTAAAATGTATGTAAATAAGTTAGTCACACTTAAAGGTGGGGTCAGCAGGAATCCGTTTAAGAAGCATCTTTTTTATGGTGTAAATACAAAAAGCTTTTAATATCAGTCAATAGCTATTAGTTATTGATAACATTTGGTATATATAATGATATCGCTGTTTTGTTACGTCTTCGTAGTCAACATTTACATTTTTGAGCAACCCGCTCTTTCTGACTGCAAACAAAGCCGTTCTCCGCCTCCCCCAGCCTGATTGGTTGTGAGGCACGCTCCACGTCCTCGTTAAACGTTCATGAGCCAAAAAAAATTTGGCATGCTACTATATCGGACAGTAGAAACCAACCAGAAAGTATGGAAAATTGTCTGAATCCTCCTTTGGCCACGACTGCCAACACAAGCAATAAAATGAAGTAGATACTGGAGGCTCTGGAATAATGAAGCTTAAAATGGAGGTAGACCGAATAAGAGCTAAAAAGCCGGGTCGATGGGGGACGCTTCTGGATGTTACGGACCCTGTAACCTTTCTGCTGGACAGGTAAATCGCTTTAACACAGTAAAGAAAGTCTCTGTAACAGAAGTGTTTCTTGTCAAACAGGGCTTGCTGCATGTTGTAGCACCACTAAACTGTTGACCTCAGGTCCTGGACTATGTCACTTTATCCTCGTTGTAGAAGTCCTGAAAACATTGAGTTTGCTGGTAGTCTGTTGGCATCTACAGTAGCACCAATGCTTTTGACTTTGACGTTGACTGGGACCCATTTGAAATTATCTGAAGTATTTATCTGCATTATATCTGAATTTAATTGGAACGATACGATACATTCAAGATTTCTCCCAAAAACTGGCACTTCCTCAGATCCTGCCTACCCCAGCTTTAACAACCTACCGGTGCCTTAACATTTTCCCTGTCATCCAGCCTCTTGTAACATTTCAGGAAGTAGTCAGGGTGGGCTGATGTGAGAGCACAACAGGAAATATTCAGGATCTCTCCCTCCAACAAACTAAGCTAGGGGGATTTTTTTTATTATTATTATGCAACCAATGCAAAGTGACGCATGACAGAATGAAGTGCATTTGAGGTTGAAGAAGGAGAACTGTCATCATAGGTCTCTGTTTGTGTGTCATCAGTGAGTAAATATTACACCGTGACTTGGCAGCGACACCGTGTTTCACCTTCCGAGACTCATAACCCACTACCCACTCCCCCAATGTTGTCGGAGACATTTAATAAAAATCAACTATGATGAATTTTGGAGCATGACTCTTAAAGACATCTGGAATTTTCTAGAAATTTTTAGGAGCACAATTGTGAAAGAGGCGAGGGGACAAATAGGGAGATAAACGAGATGCTAGTGGAAATATATGGAGTGTCCAACATCTGAAGTCATAATGAGAAATAAACAAAATGTCCTCGCTATCGATTAAAACTGTCAAAATGAGAAATAAACAAAATGTCCTCGCTACGACACACACACACACACACACACACACACACACACACACACACACACACACACACACACACACACACACAGACACTCACGCACCCACTCTGAGCCCCCTGAACTACTAATTATATCTTCAACACATAAACAACACACACCTGCACACTTATACACCTGCACTTTATAAACATCCAGTCGTGTACAAGCATACAGACCGTCTCACGCACCTGCTGTCACACACTCCTGAACATCACACACTCTGTTGACACAATCAGATTCAACAATGGACGCACAAACCAAACCACACACACACCTGCATGAATCTGCAAACACACGGATGTGTAAATACACTCAGGAGTTTGCTCACACAGGCGTCTTTCACTGTTACAGCCGGGATTATTCTGTTTCTTCCTCACAGATAAAGTCCCAACACTGGTCCTATAGTGTATTTTAGTTGCCTAGGTAACCTCACGGCGACTTTAAGACTCCATTAAAATCAGTCAGGATGGAATAGAAAAAATAAAAAAATCGGATCCAACAGAATCCCTCTTAACCTTTACCAATCCTCCCGCCCCCTCTCTCTCTCCCCCAGTCCTCTCATCCTCTGTCTCGGTGGACAGCGATTCAAATCCACCTGTACCTCTTCACCTTCATCAGCCTGCACGTTTTTCTCTCCATTTCCTCTGCACCGACAAACCATTATAACTTTCCCCTTCCATTTCTCTGCTCCCCTAATCCCTTGGCTTTACCCGCACCGTTTTCTCCCTGTCCGGTCCTGTTACTCCCTCTCACTCTCTCTCTCTCTCTCTCTAGTTCGGTCACCCTTCTACCTCGCGGCTATCTCTGTGCTCCCTTTTCATCCCCCTGCTTCCCCTTCATCTCTATCCCTCCATATACTCAGAGATGGAGTGGATGGACCTTCCTCGTCTATCAAACTCCAGCTATGACATTTTATCCTTCTCATCCTTCTCTCCATCCCTCTCTCTCTCTCTCTCTCTCTCACTAGGCAGCCCTCCCCCCTGGCAGTTTCCTTTTGAATGCAGATGTGAGCCACTGCATAAATAGTGCGTTATATATTTTTTACTGGAGCTCTCTCCTGATTGAAGTCCAGCCATGACCAGTGCATCGCTTATCCCTTTGCATCCCTTATCTCCTCCTCGCGGCTGTAAACGAACAGCATCCCTCACGTTGCGCGTCTCGCCGTGGATGTGAATGAATGATGCATTGTGATCTGCGACATCAAAGTTGTGTTGTTTTATTCATACATCTACATTATCTGGCTGCCCTTGGCGTGTGTCAGTGAAGAGTGCAGCAGTGTCTGGAAGCGGGCCGACACTGTCCTGCCCCGGTCGCTGTCACACTGATGTATGGCTACAAATTACAGCGATAAAAGCCTGACGCTGTGACTGTTACCAGCCACTCGAATGCACTTAATGCAGAGTGGGAGGGAGGAAGAGGAGAATAGTGTGTTTCGATTGCTTTGCACGCTTGCTTGTGTTTGCTATTTGGAGTTGCGAAACTGTGTGGTTGTCGCTGTCCCTTCGGGAGGCCGCCACAAGGTAAATAGGATGTATCTACAACTGTCAAAGTGTAGGTACAGTTCCTGCGTGTGTGTGTATGCGTGTGTGTGCGACTGGTTGGATAATAGGATGGCTGCTTGAGTGAACTTTCTCTATCAGACGACGTGCTACTACCGACAATGTCAGTGAGCAGCGTTTTGTCAGATGTTACAGCTTTGAGCGATGTGTAATTCTCAGCGCAATGACAGCAAAGCCTGAGATGACTTTGAAGAGACAGAGGAGAGAGGGGGGAGCAAAGACAGAGAAGGGAAATCGGAGTTGTGAAAGTTTTGAGGAGGATGGGAGATAGATGACAGGGTTGGAAGGGGTGGGGGCGGGGTGGTAGAGGACAGGAGGGAGAGGAGGATCCCCGTAGGAAAAGATTGAGGGTGGATAAGGTGAAGAAGGAGGGTGGATAAGGTGACCAGATTTCTGTAATGAATGTAATGTTTGATTTTAAACCTCCTAACGGCCTTGCCCCCATCTATTTAACTGAGCTTTTAACCGGTCGGGAGCAGGATAGAGCTCTGAGGTTGTCAAATCAACTTCTGCTGGAGGTGCCGAGGTCAAAACTCAAGTATTAGGGTGACCGAACCTTTTCAGTTGCGACTCTGGAATAAGCTCCCCAACGAAATGAGACTTATTTCCGACCTTGGCCTCTTTGAATCTCGATTAAAAACATACTTATTTATGCTGGCTTTTTAAATAACTTAAATAACTAATTTAAATAACCCAAAGGGGTCATTGGGTGCCTGAACACAGAAAACATCTAGCTACTACTTTGTAGCAGCGCATATACTGCTTATATGGTTATGTGGCTGTCTTTATAGAGACAACCCGTTACTGCACAATTGCATGTAAATCCGCGGCTTCTTGTGAGTTCTTGTGATTCCTGCTGTCCGAAATCCACCACAAAATTCGCCTCACAAACCCATCCTGTTGGAATTGGCAAATGGGGAAAATTGCTGCCGTTCTGTAGTGAAGCCATTTGTGCTTCCTACCTACTTGGCTGCCGTAATAACCATTGTTCTAGTCTACACGCAACATTTTGTTCTCATTCATAAAATGCTTAAATCTGGGACATTTCCGTGGATGGCTTTAGCCGGGGACAGGTCATTCAATATGGGGACTGTGGCTGTCTTTATACAGACAACCCGTTACTGCACAATTGCATGTAAATCTGTGGCTTCTTGTGAGTTCTTGCGATTCCTGCTGTCCGAAATCCACCACAAAATTCGCCTCACAAACCCATCCTGTTGGAATTGGCGAATGGGGAAAATTGCCACCGTTCTGTAGTGAAGCCGTTTGTGCTTCCTACCTACTCGGCTGCCGTAATAACCGTTGTTTAGTCTACATGCAACATTTTAGTTCTCATTCATGAACCGCTTAAATCTGGGACATTTCCAGGGACGGCTTTAGCCGGGGACGGGTCATCCAATACAGGGACTGTCCCTGGAAATCGGGACAACTGGTCACCTTGAAGGTGAAGGAAGACGACCAAACAAGAGAAAGAGAACATTTTAAGGAGGTAGATTTAGCACAGAGAGAACTTTTCAATGTGTCTGAATAGGAACAAGGAGGTCACACTGAAACCCCTTATGTGGGGACATCCTGGTCAGGCCTTATCTTGACAGACTTCAACACCAACACCATTCCTGTTGGGCACTCTTTAGGGAAGGTTGTCATATTGCACAATGCTTGCAGTAGGGCTGCAAATGTATATAGTATATAGAGCGAGTACAATATTGAATAAAAAGAAATAAAAACAGAAAGTTGGGATGTGCATGATCCGATAATCTGAATGAACCTCCTTGCTGTGAGATTTTACAGCCTGAGTGTCGGAGTTTACTTCATCAGGACGAGTTTATACCATATGCAGCTGGATATTCGAACCGAAAGTGAAGGTCTGTCAAGAAAAAAATTAGAGAACCAGCGAGGTTCAAGCTCCGCTCTTTCCTCGCTGCATAAGCACACAAGAAAGGTCAACTATCCATTCAGCCATTTTTCCAGACTCCAAAAACAACAGAACAGAGTTTCCGGGTAAATGGATAAACTGCTTTTGTTAAGAAATGGCAACAGCCCATTATTATACTAAGTGAGCTTTAGAGGTGTTAGCAGGTATTTTGTCAACTACCTGTTCCCCTGCTTCCTGTCTTTACGCTAAGCTAGGCTAATCACCACCCAGCTTCAGCATTCAGCAACAGAACTGTTTCACTGTAGTTCCATTTTTTAGCTCTGGCTCATCGAGACTTTCGAGTTTTAACACCCAGATAAGAAAGAGGAAGAAGGTTTTGATCGTACTCCTTTCAAAAACTTTCTCTAAGTTTTTTGGTTGAATGTTAATCCGGCCATTTCCCACTGAAGTTACTTGTAAGAAATAGTAAAACTATTCAAAGCACACACCTGTTCTCTCGAATTTCTCCCTCCCTGAACACCTGAACACCTGAAAGGACGGAGGCTCTCTGCCCAGAAAGACTGCCTGTAATTGTTCTTGAAGGATACACCAGGGTGTGAAGAATGTGTGTGAGGTAGTTTTTAGCCTCGGCGTTTTCAGAAATGTGTGTGTGTGTGTGTGTGTGTGTGGCAGTATGAATGTGTGGACAGAGCTGTGTGTGTGCGCTTTCTGCTTCACCACAGCTCCGACCATTCGATTGATTTTTTTTCCTGGCAGTCTGCTGGGATCTCATTTGAGTTTCCAAATCATTTAATTTTGCTAAAATTACAGCCAGATCCCCCAAGACAACAACTCAAGAGAAAATAATTTTTTGACCAAACATGTATTTTGTTGTTTTTCTTTTGTTTTTCTCCTCTACAAACACAACCTGAAAACAAATATTGGACTCCGTTTAACACTTAAGTCCACACGTTCACTTAATGACCTCCTTCCTGCTAACTTGATATTGAACATAATGGTGTAGTAGCTAATTGGCTTACTGTATGTCGCGCTGTTTCATCTGTGGAATCTTAAAGAAAGGTTTGTGTGTGTGTGTGTGTGTGTGTGTTTTCGCTCTACAGCAGAGGACTCATTGCTTCCTAATGGTCCATTTTTTTTTGTACTTGTTGGATCTCTGATGGGTCTGTGGGGCAGATAGGTGCAGAATACCAATGAAGCGGGCGGTTTCAGTCCACCATGCCGCACGCTCACAAACCAACACTGTTCCAGTTTAATGAGCTCAATTGGACTGAAAGCACAGAAACAATACTGCCAAAGCAATTAGGTACAAATGGTGAGCACGTCCTTTTTGGTAATAATGAGAAACGGTAACAGAGAGGGTTTGGATCTGCTAGGTTATTGCACCATGTACTGTGTCTGTTTAGGTTAGCCTTGAAACTGTTACTGTAAGATTTGCTCCTTTGGGCTTTGGGGTGAATTTGGTTTTACTTCATTTATATTGGACCATATTTTGGTTAGCAGGAATTTTATGTGCAAAATGCAAATACAAAAACATTACAGTGGTGATTTTCTGCAGCTGTCTCAGCCTACCGCAGCATTTGTGAATGAATGTCTTTATACTGATATTGTCTAACTGTAAAATTTAGATTATCTGGACACATGCAGATTTCTGATTTATTAATTTATGATGAGTGGATGATGGTGCAACTCCAGGTGTATTGGTCACAGCTAGTGGATCTGTACCTCAAGACTTTCAATACTACTGTGGGTTGAGACCAAACTTGTAGCCAGCAGGATTGTGTTCACAGATAACTGATTGATTATTCCTGAATTAAACCATAAAATATGTCAGAAAACTCCAGTAGGAACTTAGAAAAGTCCTTTTTTTGTCAAGGAGGAGAAAAAGACAAACATTTCTTACATTTAAGTAGTTTTATTATTATTTTTTTATTAGACGTTCTTGATAATTCGACTTTAACTCTCAAGGACAGTGAGTGTTTCTTGTGATTCCATTTTTTTTGGTGTCTGTGAAAGAAATAACTTGACTGAGATATAAAATGGCTTATCGAAGCAAATTAACCACATACAGTAACACCAACAGTCCTCTCTTGATTCCCTCTTCTACTCTTAAAATCTGCACTCACGGGTTTAAACAAACACGCACACACGTACAGCTGACACATGGGGGTGTGCGCCTGCTCTCGTAGCCCATTTTACTTTCTGTTGGTCAGGTGCGAGACGGCTCATGTAGAGAGATGCTGTCCCCTCTGGGAGCGAATGAAACCCCCAACATGGAGACTTTATTAAAGACTCTCCAGGTGACAGAGATATGCTCGAGATGGGCTTCATCGACTGAGACACACACACACACACACACACACACACACACAGGCATACACGTCTCCCAGTCCCTACTCTCTTATTGATTGCTTTCATCCAGTATAACCTCTCGATCCCTCCAGCTCTATCCTCTGACTGCTACTGTCTCGCTTCACCTTCCTATTCTTCACTAAATTTCCTTTTCTCTCGCTTTGGCCGTTCACATCTCCTCCAGCTGCCTCTATCAATTGTCCATTCTTTCGCTTTACTCCGCACCTCCACCACCTTCCACTCCTGTTATATCTCCAATTCCTCCTCCTTATCGTTCTTATCCTCTCAGTTCTACCTTTAAACCCTCTAACCTCCCACCCACCTACCCTCCTTCCCTCCCTCCCTCCACCCTTTCTCTATCTGGCCTTTTCTACCATTCTGCCTCGGTTTCCATCTCTCTCCCTGCCTCACTCTCTGTTCTGGGTGTTGCTGTAAAGGTCAGGTTAGCTCCATGAATAAGCTGTAGATTTATGATGCTGCCATCTCCCAGGAATCACTGTGACCAGGGCCAAACAAAAACAACACTGCAATAGAGCGCAATAGATCGCCTGAGCCCCATTCAGCAAACGCAGAGGTTATTAATGAGGCTACGGGCCGCTGCACTAGAGGTTGAGGGAGTGGTTAAAGCTGTGTGAAGGCACACACACACACACACTCCAAAACACACAGACAGATGCACATAGCCTTTATGAACAAACATACAGTACACAGCAGTGATTTCAAAGCAGGGCACAGGTCTGCAGATGCCAGGAGGCACTTTAAAAGCTTTTCTGAATGAATGTCCCGATTTAATTTATTAAAAGAAAATTGAAAAACTGCTTGAAAAAAGAGATAGAAACACATGATTATGAATCATACATATGTTTAAAAACACCGACAGTAGAGAGCTGAGGGCTGAAATATGACCAGATCATCCACGCCTCTGCTCCAGATGTTGAGTTAAAGCTCCTTTGAGGAGTTTTTTGACCTCTATCGAATAAACTAAATTACATATTGAAGACTTTTATGCAAAAGAAAACAGAGCTATAAACAACAAGACCGAGGATTTATATATTGTAATCTTTATGCCTGAAACCAGCGAGAGAAGGTAGGTGTCAGCTAAGCAACAGAAAAAACAGCCCCGTCTTTACACTGTCCTCTTTAACCCTTTATTGCCTTTTGTCTCATATTTGACACATACTTTTATATACTTCTATCAATCAATATGATCAACAAATAATTAAAAAAACACCTTTAATACAGTCCAATAAATGATAAAAATGTCAGCTTGTGGTTTATCAGTTTCCAAAAATATCTGATGTATCAAATGAGATAAATAAAAATTTGTAAAATTTTAAGGACATTTAGATTTTGGGGGTTTCTTGGTAGTAAGTAGAATAAACATTTCAGCTCCAAAAAAATTAAAATTTCTGGCCATAATTTGTGGTTTCAGGCATTATAGAGTTGAATATACATAATCAATAACACCAAAAGTCAGGATGATCAGATTTTTGTTGAACAACACAGTTCAAGCATGTAAAAAACAAGACAGGTAACAACTACTCCGTCCACAAGGGGCGCCAAAATGAACACAAACCAAAATAATCCTCGAACATGGCGGCTAACAGAGACGTGGGCTCAGTCGTCTTTCACCAACCTGAATCATCTGTGGCACATCAACACTGAGGACTTAATCTACTAAGATCCAAAATAGTGAGCCTTAAATTGTGTGTTGCACATGTCGTGTTGGGGAACTGCATAAAAAGGCAAGGCAAGTTTATTTGTAGAGCACAATTCATAAACGAGAAAATTCAAAGTGCTTTTCAGATACAAGAAGATGTACTAGAAATCAAAAAAGGGATTAAAACGATTTAAAATCAATAAGACAAACAGATATATTTTTTGTCTGTTCCGTGTTTGACCTTATTATTTATGAAAATCGTCATTTACTTGAAAACCAAAATAAATCACAAGCTTTTGTACAAGGATCATGGCGTGTATCATGGCACTTCTGCCTCCTTCTCCCCACAATGACCGTGCGTAATGCAGCGCCAGTTTGCACGTGCCTTTCAAACGTGCTAAATATAGAAACAAAACAACAACCGGGATCGGTTTCCGTGTTTGATAGATCACACTGCAGGTGCTAAACGATTCCATTTGAATCTGCTCCTCCCAGAATTTTGCACGTTCTGATGATCTACGCAAACACGCTAAATTAATTGCGCGTGCTGTTTTGCTAATTTGACAGACGCATTCCTCGGTGCACCCGGTTACTAGATCAGGTGTTTTTGCACACGCAAACCTTTAGTAGATCAGGCCCTGAGTGTGTAAAAGTTAATGAAAAGCAACAAGTAATTGATTAAAATGAACCGAAAAGCTTAAACTAAAATGTATAAACAAGGCAAAATAGCTAAAGCCAAAGTCAAGCTTACCAGACAAGCTAAACCAGTAGATATTGTGGTTGAAAGAGTTACCTAAAAGTTAAGATTGAAGCAAGAAATAAGAACTTTTTAAGTGAGACAGGATAAAGTAGGTTCATGTAAGCTTATTGAAAACAGTTGATGAACAGTGTTAATGTCTGCACACTGCTTTTTATGACTCAACCGCTCACATATAGAAACAAACCGACTAACTGTGATAATGAATGTCGAGGGAGAACAGACCTGAGTGAAAGCCTGAAGGCAAAAACAAATAAAAACAGAATTAACACAAGTTACCTCGATCATCCTCTGCAGTTCAGTCAGTGTCTGCGAATATGAGCGCCTCTGTCCCCAAAGCCAGACACTGTGACGGGCTGATTTCTGAGGGATATGGTCAAATGTTCTGCTGACTTAAAGCGTAAAAAGGATGAGAAATTAAAGCTTTTATTTTGTAATCACTGTGCGTCAATGCGGGAACTATTCATGTCACATTTAACCAACTTTATCATTAGAAAGAAAAATTATGCTTGATTTTGTTTGATATTTTCTTCCAGAGTACAGGCCCCTGCATATTTCTATAGGTGTATTTTTCAAGGATGAGGCACAACTTTGTTTAAAAATGTGAGTTTTTTTTTTATTTTTATCTCAGAGGCTTTTTCAGATTTTCCCTGCTTCTCATGTAGTTAAGGGACGCTCAGACACTCAGGCACTCAGACAGATAAAATTACCCGTCTGCACCTCCAGCCAGCCTCATTACTTTCCTCTTCCTCACAATTTCCTCGCCCTGCTCCTGCACCCACCAGCACCCCCTCGCATCCCTCGGCGAATATTTTCCCTCCCGCAAGTGTTGGGTCACAACGGGGTCAACCTCCAGTCAACAGTCTGGATTAAAATTTAACGCGAGCCCTGATGCATATTTCATTGTTCTATGGCCTCTATCCATCAGGCCCTATCCTTCTCGCTGCCTGTCTCTTCTCACCTCCTCTCTCTCTGGTGATCTGTTCTCCATATTTGTCCATCTCCTGAGACCAGGCCTCACAGCAGAGATAATGTACCGACATGTGGTTAGGCATAGCCAAACCCTCAATGCCGCAGCAAGAGACAAATTAAAGGAAAGGATTTCTCTTTCTCAAGCCAGGAAGAAAATGCCGTTCATGCTGGCAAGGACGATGTACCCAAATGTCTCTCATTTGCAGGCAAGAGACTTGAGCTAAAACTTGAGAGGCTATCTGAATAGAAAAAAGAGAGGAGAAGAAAAACAGCTTTTAAAGAGTCATGCAGCTGAGAAACAGGAGCATTAAAAAGTAATACTGAATCCACTCAGCGTTCCACTACCCTAGTTTTTCATCAGCTGTTATTAAGCAATTCTTGGAGTTCGCTTAAGCATATCAGACAGAAGTATAATCAATAAGCAATCAGCCCATTAAGGCTGAAAATTTACTCCAAACTGCAGTGGCATTCACAGTGCACACGTTTCATGTTGAGTACATATTTAAAGCTGCTTGTGTAAGCACATTTAGTTAGATATCAATAAAGGTAATGATGAGATAACTTTCTGATGAGATTTGCCAATGTTGTTGAAATACAAAAGAAATCAAACAAATTAAAAACAAATAAAGAGGAAACATCCATTTATGTATGTAGGGAATTCCCAAAATTTAGGGGCCAGACCTGTGAGAGCACCGACAAACACACCATTTAGTACTGCAGGCAAAGCATTACATGGTTCCTAACAGGACCGCCAGGTAAACGGATGATAATAAATCTGCACAAAACTTCTCAACGCCTTAAAGCTCCTGTGAGAAACTTTCACATTGTGTCGATTTTGGCGCCCCTTGTGGACAAAACTGTTACGTCCGTTCCATATTTAAAGCTCCTGAGAAGTTTTGGGGCATTTATCATGTGCAATACAGCAATTCGTACCTCATTTGTCATGTGCAATATGGCGATTCATACCTCATTTATCCCACTGACTTATTCCTCATTGCATACGTTCACACTCTGACAGCAGCTACTCCATCACTTGTGCACTTTGTAAATATTTTTTATATACTTTTTTTATTTTTGTGTCTTTATTTTATTGTACTTTTTTTCGTACTTATTGTGTGTCATTTGTACTTCTTTGGGTCAGGCGGTCCTTCTCATCCAGGGCATTTCATTGCATTGTTGACTTTAGTTAACCTGCATATGACAAGTTATCCAATCTTGATCTGATCTTGATTTACAGATTCATTCTACACAGGACAAGATGGTATAACTGTCCATTGTGCCGTTAGATGTAAAGTCACATGAGTTGCCTTGATGTTGAGAGTGGTGTGGGGGTTGTATCTCCGTAAATTTTAGGACGCATCATCAGTAGTGTTCCTTTGAATCAGGGGGTGTTTCGGCGGTTCAACACTAGACACCCTCATCAAAGGTGGCCAGCTACAGGGCGATAAAGTCTGAGCTTGTGTCCCATGCCTGATCACAAGCCCACGGGACTATGCATGGCAGGGGGCGTCCACTCCCCTGAGTCAGGCCTGGAGCTGACTGCATACCTTGCTCCTTCTCCTCCTGGGTGGGAAAAGGGGTGATGGGGATGAAATAGACTGAAATTCAAACTTTTGGGGGCAGATGTTACTATTTCCACAATCTTCAGTACCTACTTAGAGATGTAGAGGACAAGAAACCTTGTCCACAGGGGGTCTCCAAAAATGACACAGTGCTCACAACAAGCTTTAAATAGCGACTTTGACAATCAGATGAATTCTTAATTGTGAATATTTTCAAACAGGGCTACTTCTTCTACACCTACCCCCTTGCACCTGTTTCAAAAATTGACAACTTGTCACTTGATTGTCTTGTTTGTTTTATTATGTCATAAAAAGCATCAATATGAATTTCAGTCTGTTTCATAATTGTCAAGAGACTCATTACAGGAGCCGTAAACAAGGACAAGAAACGAT